TAAAATTCATAAAATGATATTTTTCACTGTCATAATCAATTATGATGCATCAGAAATGGAAAAAATGATTTTCTCTATCATAATTTATTATACTGGTAACATAATCAATTATATGACATTTCAAATTTGAAAAATATATCTGTTTTGAAGAATAAATGTTTTTGAATATATCCTGATTTTTATTCACGAAAATATTAATGTCCAACGACCATTTTCTGATGCTATTTTTCTATTTAATTAAGTTTTGATGAAAAATAAAAAACACATAATTACAGAATTCGAAAATACAATTTACATTCAATCAATTTTGAGAAAAGATTTCTGAACAAAGGCAACAAAGATATTTTACACCTTCTGAGAAATCATTCTTCTCTACTGCCTTCTGTGCTTTCATTGTTAATCACACTTGTTCTTGGAGATTGACATTCTACGGACTTCTATAATTTGTTGTCTCCATTACCCAGGTGTGACTGTTCTTATCTTACTCTTTCATCTTTTGTGGGTTTAGGAGGTGTTTTCATCACTTTGATTTGTTCAGGGAGGTGTTCATCCCTAGTGTGATTCTAGGGAGGTGTTCATCCTTAGTGGGATTCTAAGGAGGTGGTTTTCATCCTTTGATTTGTTCAGAGGAGGTGTTCATCCCTAGTGGGATTCTAGGGAGGTGTTCATCCTTAGTGGGTTTCTAAGGAGGTGATTGTCTTTTTAATTAGTTTACTTTTTACTGGTTCTTCTGCTGAGTTGATTGTAATTTGTAAACTGAATTTGAAAGATAGTGAATTGGGAGTCACTCTTGTGTTAAGAGTTGACTGGGAAATGGATGTAGGGTTGACTATACTCGAACCAATATAAATTATTGTGTGCTCTTCTCTTTCCCTTATCTATTTCTCTTTTCCTGATTACATTATCGTTTTCGCTTTATCTGTGTTCAAACAAATTAATGACTCACAAATAAATTTTTAATTTGACATCTATTAAAATTTATGCATCTATTCACCCCTCTATATGCCATTTGTCTAACAATACAAATATAAAATTAACATTTTTTTCTCTTATCATATCATTTTACTCATTATATTAATTATTTGAATATATTGTGTTCTTATCGCCATTAATGTCCACACTAAAAAAAATATGTCCACTTATCTTCTTTTATCTCCAATGTTAATTAATAGTGCCACAAGTGTTTTAGTATTTTTTACATTTCAATACACCTTATGTGAATATATGGGACGCTAAATTTTTTTAAAAAAAATGCACAAAAGAGACATAACATGAATTTTATTAAAATATAATTTTTATTGTTGATGAAAACTGAATTATCCAAGGAACATATACTATGCACAAGGATTAAATAAAATAATTTATCAAATAACATAAACATAAATATATTTACAAAATATGATGATTTGCATGAGATTCATTATCTTATTTGTGGTCATATAAGATAAACCAAGAAATCACGTCCCATTCAGCATATAAAAAAAACAAAAAAAAGTTATGTCCTATTTTGTATAACTTGGGTGCCACACAAAATAGAAATATTATATTTCATTTGTAACATTTCCTAAAAGATGAAATAATGACTTACAAAACACATATTTGTTTATGGATAGCATACACATATTTCCTTCAAAAATACAATTACAAATCATAATAATATATGAAGTTGTTAATTTTCTTTCTCATTAAGATCAATTTCATATATTTTTAAAACATTATCTACAATTTTGCCCAAGTGTACATGTTTAATGTTGTTTAAAAAAATGGGACGTAATAGATTTATGAAAAAGCTACCTCTTTATAGCAATTTATAAAAGTAGACTTAATTTGTATATTAGTACGAATAAGATGTATAAAGACCTAAAGATATTTTTTAGTAGATAAAAATAAAAAGAGATGTTACTTAGTATATATTTATTAATTTGGTATGTCAAAAAGTCGAAGTGAAATATTATGGAAATACTATTAAAGCAATTGGAACTAAATGAAAGGAAGGGAATGCAATTATAAACATTAGGATATTTAAAAAATATGATTCATTATTGATGATAGTGGGTAGATTGATAAAGAACATTTTCTATCAATCAACTTCGAATCTCAATGAACAAATTAATTCAGGGAGATAGTCAACTTATATGGTGTATTTTTTAATATAGTCTCATTAGAATCCTAAATTTACATTTAAATTATGATAGATTTTATAAGAAGCCTTAAGAAAAAAATTAAAGTTTAATTTTGTATATCATCCCCATAATGATAATTCACTACAAAAAATAATTGATTTATCGACGAATAAAATCTGTCGATAATAACAAAAATCCGTTGATAAATATATATTATCGACGATTTATCGATAAAAAGAAATATGTTGAAAGTTTCATTATCAGTAAATATTACCAATATATTTGAATAGTTCGTCGATAATTACCGACGGAGTTTTTCGTCGATTAAGGGATTTGATTGTTGTGTTGAATGAAATTGTTATTGATGAATATATCTGTCGGTAATTATCAAAAGTTATTACAGACGAATATATCCGTTGAAAACTTGTTTTTGTTGACTACGCCAATTATTGTGATTTATCCATCGATAATATCCAAATTTCTTACAGGTTCCATTCCATTTTCTAGTAAACCATTTTCCCTGCATAATAACACACATTTTATACCACGAGCAACGCCAAATCCAGTTCAACTATTTCAAATCAAATTCAACTTAAATATAAGACAAATAACTTCAATTTAAATCAAACATAATACAAATTAACCTTAATTCAAACAAATGACATATAATTCAAACTATCTATAATGAAACTTAATGTGTAAGAGTAACTATGATTATAAAGTAGAATAATGTCAAATATAATATTATTTTAAAAAAATATCTAATAATGGGAATAATAAAGAGACTGTTATTAAACTACTTTTATGTTGTCAAATCCAATTTAACATTGGACTTTCAAGCAATTAGGCTTGAATAAAAAATGAACATGATACTAGTCTATTAGAATATTGTACAAAACATAACTTCTTTAAGAAAGTTATTTTCCTTAAAACTATTAAATTCATAAACAAAAATTATAATTACAAGTAAAAATTCACATTACCTAGTACCTAAATGTCTTGCTATAGCAAAATATATAATTTTTTTTTCTTGGACTGGTTGGAACCTCCTAATACAACTAAACTATATTGAATATGCAAAAATGTTAAAATAAAGAACAATGTTAATAAATTCCTAAATAAAAATTAACATTACAAGTGAAAATTGAAATTTCCTAGTAAATCTATGCTTACTGTAGCAAAATGTGCAAAAAAATTATGAATTGGACTGGTTGGAACCTCTTAATACAACTTATTATGTCAGAACCTAGATATAGAAGAAAAAGAAAGAAAGTTAATAACCAAATGTCATAAACAACTTAACTATTCATGACATATTATTGAAAAAAGTGAATAACATAGTACTAGATGCGATGATCTGTCGGAAATTGTGTTGTCGGTAAATATCACCGCAATCTAGAGGCCCTATTATTATTAAATTAAGAAAATTATTACTAGCAAAATTCAAACTCAGTACCTTAGAATTAAATTTAATACTCCAACCACTAAGCTACTATAATTTTCTAATAATAACTTACAAATAAATTATATTTATATACAAGTAAATGTATATCCGTATAAATATATAAATATAAAATATATAAATACAAATATATTTATATATTTTGATATATTTATATATTTACCAACGAATATATCCGTCGGTAATCACTCGGTAATTTTCATCAGTAATTTCGTCGGTAATCACTCATTTTTCGATAACTACATATCCGTTGATAACTATCTCGTCAGTAATTAATGATTTTCTTGTAGTGAGTTAATAGATTTGTTTATATTGCTGCATGAATCATATTAGTGTGGGTAGTATTGTCTGCAGACTTATACCCTTATTTCTACTACCTTATTTTACCTAAGCATAGGTACTTTACAGTATATTTATAACTCGGAAAGTTTATAAAACTGGACAATTGGTCATTTAAAGAAGCAATAAAATATATATATATATATATATATATATATATATATATATATTACTATTTTTTATACTCACTACATTGCTATATTCATTTTTATATTAAACCAAGTTATTCCAGCCCTAATGACAGTTGTTAACATTATTGGAAACCTCAAGCATATTATAAAGTCATTCCACATCCTATAACCAAAAAAATGAAGTAGTAGTTAATCACTAATCACAACCAATGACCCTGAAACAAAATAGCCCACACTATGGCATGGCTCAATCTCTCAAGTGTGAAAATTTGAATTTTCACATCATGTCTAATACTTAGTACTTACGTAGATTTTATCAAACACCAATACACATACCAATTACTCAAAGTCATATCATTGACATTAATGTTTCATTTAAACTATTTCTTAACCAAATTATAACTTACATAAGTGATCTCTACACATGACCCTAAAACAACTGCTATGACCTCTTCTATGGTTAGACAAATGGTGGATTTCCCTGCAAAACAATAATAACATACAAAATTTAGGCCACAAATTCAACAAGGTCTATGGCCAAAAATAACAAACCAATGCACAACAACAAGCTTTTTCCTAATTTTCTAATTTTCAGCTTTTCCTAAGTACATACATATTAACAAAGTACATACATAATCACACAGTACACATTTGGATCATGAATAACAAAGAACATACATATATGAAAAACAAAGTACATATTGTCGCAACCGAAATTGTAGTGGGACGATGGTGCAATCCGAACTAGATCGGTGGTGTTGTGAGTGAGGGAGGGTGGGGAAATTTTTCGTGGTTGCGGAAGCGGCGCAAATGGGATAGGGTTTCGACAAGGTAATGGAGGCGATGGATGTGGTGGTTTTCTCTTAGGCTCGTGGGGGGTTAAGGTGGTGACTTATGCAGCTAAAAGGGGATTAATGTAAAGAAGAGAGATTGGGAGCTGAGGGTATGGCCAGCGAGGATGGTCCGTGGTGGTGGTTTTGTGGTGCGTTGCTAGGCTTTTGTTTTGCGGCATGATGGCTTTGTAGAGGATGCCTTGGAAAGTGATGATGGGCAGCGAGATAGGTGGTGCCGCGTGGCTTGGGCAGGGTTAGCTAGGGTTTGGGGCGTTGCAGAGGTGATCCAAGGAAGATGAGATGGGTAAGGCGAGGTGAGGGTGAGGGAGGCTCAATTTGGGGCTGACTGATGCGATGATAAGATGTTGGCTGTGGAATTTGGTGGCGTGAGGTGGCTAGGTGAGGGGATGAGGTGCCGCACGAAGGAGGTGGTTGTGCCCGTGTGCGGGGTGGCTGGGAGAAGATAAGGATTGGAAATTGGAAGCGAATGAGGGTAATAGAGGTGAAAGCTAGGGATGTTGGGTGAGATCATAAGGGATGTGCCGAGAGGGATAAAAAGGGATCTAAAGTTGGGAGGTGTGAATGGTGAGTATGAAAAAGGAGTCTTCCTGTTCTCCAATATTTTGTTGACTCAAACCAAATTACCAACGGATAAATAAAATTTTATCGACAGACTAATTTACCAATAGATATATTCGTCGATAATTTAAATCACAACAATTTTTATCTCAACCCATGTACATTTTCGATAGCTAAATACCATCGATAATTAATTGTTAAATTATCAACGGATATATCTGTCGATAAGACCAAATTCTACAAATACTTTATATCCTTTGGTAATATCCTTCAGTAATATCTATCGCTAATCACTATCTACTGATGACTTTAGATTTGTCGGTAATTAATAATTTTTTTATAGTGATTAGTTAGAGCAGATAATTTAGTCACTAAAAGATTTGTTGAGATCTTGTATAATAGATCATCTGAAAAATTGAGCTGAGATTCTTCATTTGATAGAATTCGCTTATAATAATATTCATCATGTTAATCTTAAAATGACAACATATGAAACACTATATAAAAGAAAGTGAGACACACCTTTGTATTGGTATTAGGATGGAGAAAATATAGTAGTAAGATTAGAGATAACGTAAAAAAATCATGATAAAATTTGAGATATCCAAGAGAAACTAAAGACTTTCATGAGTAGACAAAAGTCTTATGTGAATTAGATATGGAGATCCTTAGAGTTTACAATCAAAATAACATGTATAGTTGAGGTTAAACCCACAGTTGGTAAGACTCTTCAATACAAAAAGGACTTCTAAGGTTATTAGATTATATCAAATACTTAAGAAGATTGGTCTAGTCACTTTACCTCCATAAATAACTAATTTACACATTCATTTTATATCTTAGTTGAAAGAATATGTACATGATCCAAGTTATAGGTTAAAGTCAAATAATGTGGAGATTAGAAAATATTTATCACTAAAAATTGGACTAGTATATATAAATGATTACCATATAAAACAACCATGTAATCACACAATCAATGGTGAGAATGATAAGATATGACAAATATAATGATTGTAATGATGTGAAATTTATGTTTTGAAAAATAAAATATGTTTAGTTGGTTAAAAAGTCCTATAAATATAAAGTTAAACTATTTTATTTTCATAAAATATTCATCTCATTAGACTAGAAAGTGACAATAGATAGCTGAAGATATAAGGAGTTGAACTACTCAATCATATATTAAGAATAAATTAAGTTATTTCTAATTCTGAGGGGGGCTAAGACATTTTCATGGAACACAAGTCAATCATTTTAAGATTCTCACATCACCTTCAACCTAAAATCTTAAGACATTAAGTTATAAGTCTTTCTCATTTATAAATTATTCAACTTCCTTAATTCTACTTAATTTCAACTCATTATTGGAGTCCCAACAATCATTATCTTGAGGGGAAGTATTTTTTAACCATAACTATGTCAATAGTGACCTTACACTTGCCTAAAACCCTTCTCAAGGACTTTTGACATAATGATCCATAATCTAAGATTTATCACAGACTCCAATTATACTTAATTGAGTTGGTGATATGAACCTCATTTGCACAAGAGCTGACTTAGGATCTTTAGGGTTATAACCTTGTAGGAAATTTAGGAAATATGTGAGAATGTGGATTAGAAAGTTGTGAAAGTTTTAAGGTTGGGAAAAATTTTAGAAACATCAATATCTTGAGCTATAAAACTCCGATTGAGATGATTAAAAAGCAAGATCAAAATTCTCGTTCTAAATTTCAATTTAGGCTAAAAAAATACTCAATTTAGACGAGTAAAACAAAAGTTATGACCACGGAATAAATCTAGGAAGAATTGAGTTTTTTGGGTTCTGGTGAAGAAATGACAAGAGGTGAATGTGAAAGGTCAAAGGAAATAATTATTCTTCTCAAGGGAGGTAACTTACAAAGGATGTGAAAGTCCTTTGATACAACCAATGACTCTTAAATCACTCAAGAACTTAGAAGAATCACTCTCACTAAGATAAAAAAGGTAAACTTTAATATTGATGAATAAAACTCAACTTGTATTTTTGATAAAAAATGGTTCAGCTTATATAGAAGTTTTGTCGTCAGAGTTACAAAGATTCAATAAAGGAAAATAAATGCTAATATGATCTATTAATAGGAATTGAAAACTACTTAATGAGGACAAATAAATGGTAATATGATCCATTAATCTAGGAATTGAAAACTACTTAATGGAGACAAATAAATGCTAATAATGATCTATTAACCTAATAATTCAAAACTATTTATTAACTGATTTGTAACTGAAATTGTGGCAACCAAAAGTAAATCAGCCCTCTTGGTCTCCCAAAGGTTGATACCAATTGGACCCTTATTATAACTTGAAACAAAATCAAACTAAAGTCCATCAATTGATTAACCAAAAACATAATTTGGTCAGTCAATCTTTCAAAAGATTGAGTCATTATTTAAACAAACTTGAAGACTAAAACAAAGTGACTATTAGTCCTCTTCATTTGGACCATGATGCAATTCACAACTTTGGTATTTTCTCCTTGAAATGTGGGCTTGTATTACAATAATATGGATAAGTCTTATTGAAGATCTTCCTTTATTTTTCTTGCTCTAGCCTTTGTCATAGATCTTCCAAGTGGATTCTTGTCTTTACTCATGGTCATATTCCCATCAGTTAGTCACCAGACAAACCATAAACTTTAATATTACTATTGGATATTTGCGAGGGGGGCTAATACATGGAGATTGTCACAAATTGACATGAATTAATCATACAAGTAAATTTAATATCAATTTCAACCTAAAATCTTAAGAGATTAAGTTATAGATATTTTTTGAGTTATTCAATTTTATCATTTTTTATTTAGAATTTCATTAAGTGTTGTTGAATAGAAAAAAATAACCTTTAGCTACACCATTACTTTGAAAACTTATGTTATGAGAATATCAAATAAATGTTAGTTATTCAAGAAATAATAAAAATGCTTATATATTATAATATTAATTATGAATAAAAAATATATTTAAACTATTTTAATAAGATATTACATTTTTATGGATAGTTATAATAATTAATTAAATTATCTAATTAGTATATTTTTTATTATTTTAAATCAATATAATTTTTTTTACTTATTTTTTTCATATTTTACTCTTTATTTCTATTTTAATATTATTTTTTCATTCTCTAAAATTCATTAACTAATCCTCTAATGAAAGGGTAAGTGATATGATTTGAAATGAGTAATAATTATTTATAGTAACATGTTCCATAAATAAAATTAGTCCTTTATGTATAAGCCTATGCATGGGTCAACTTCAACTCCAAAAACTTGATTCCATAAATCTTGACCCAAGACATTCAGTGAGATGGATACGTGTTAGGTATGTAACAACTCATTTATATCATTTTCTTCTGTTTAGACGTTTATATAAAAATAATATCTTAGTATATATAAAAAAAATATTGTCTTCACTAAGATTAAAGTTATAACAATAATATAAATATCTTTAAATAATTATGTTAATCAATCAATCACTTAATATTTAAAAGGACGTTACATTTGAGATTAAAACCGGTCTATAATCAAATCTTTTATTAATAATCATCGTAAAATTCTTTAGATGTTATTAACTAAATTATACTATATTTTCGTTATTCTAAATTACTTTTCCTTTATGTTTTTATGTTATTTTTAAAATTCAAAATGATCATATATTTTATTTTTCCTTTTTATATACTACTCTAATATTATTTAACAACGATTTTTTTTCATTTTTCTTTTTTAATGTGAAATGGATAAAGGAGTTATAAATCATTTAACCACTAACAGAAAATTAAATGAAAATTTCAAAATATAAAATATTTGATTATAATAATACATATATATCATCATCATAAAAGAATATATATATATATATATATATATATATATATATATATATATATATATATGTATGATTATTTCAAGATTTGGAATTTAAATTTCAGTTTAATTTAAAATTCAAATTCAAGTTAATATTATCAATTATGATAATTATTACACACCTTATACATTTTATTAGAAACTTATTATTAAGTTATAACTATTATGATAATTTTAAAATATATTTAAATAGTCCAATTAAAAAATTGTATGTATAAAATATATTAAACACTTAATTAGTTGATTTTTTAAATTAAATCGTCCTATCAAAATAGGGTCCAAAACTTATTATCCAGATGAACCACTGCAATAATAATCTTATATGAATCAAGAGATATATTAATCACCTCTTACAAATCCAAAAATTGTAACAAAATATTATTTTTCGATGGAAAAAGATATATTAAAAATCCTAATAACTAATTTACAATATATAATTAAAAGAGAAACCTAATATTTATAGAATTGAAATAAACACTTCTTTATTTTTAAAATTATAAAATAAAAAATAATATTATAAAATAAAAAAAGTGGTGTATATCACTTTTCAGTATGTTATAAATATAAATAAATTATAGATTATAATAAATAAAATAATATTAATAATAAATTAAATTATCTAATTTTATTATTATTATTTACTGAATTCACTTCTTCCTATTTATTTTCTTAATTCCAATATTGGGTTTTAAGTTGGATTGGGCTTTGTTGGAAAAACACTACGTTCGATAATAAGGTATAAATAAATACGAGAAGCATGCTTCCAGTGTTTTGCCTTTGCTACCAATTTTCAAATACGAGATAGCTTTCCGAATTCAGTAACTCAGCAAGTTTGTCTGGATGGCGACCAGCGGGAACAGCGGCGGCAACCAAAATTACAAACCGTACCGTCACCTGAAAACCCTTACCGGCCACGAAAGCGCCGTGTCGTGCGTGAAGTTCTCCAACGACGGAACGCTCTTAGCCTCGGCCTCCCTCGACAGAACCCTAATCATATGGTCCTCCGCCACCCTCTCGCTCCTCCACCGCCTCGTCGGCCACTCCGAGGGCATCTCTGACCTGGCGTGGTCCTCGGACTCCCACTACATCTGTTCCGCCTCCGACGACTGCACCCTCCGGATCTGGGACGCCACCACCGGCGATTGCGTGAAGATTCTCCGCGGCCACTCCGACGCGGTCTTCTGCGTGAACTTCAATCCCCAATCGAGCTACATCGTGTCCGGGTCCTTCGACGAGAGCATTAGGGTTTGGGATGTGAAGACCGGCCGATGCGTCCAAATCATCAACGGCCACTCCATGCCTGTTACCTCCGTGCACTACAACCGCGAGGGCACCCTCATCCTCTCCGCCAGCCACGACGGCTCTTGCAAAGTTTGGGACACGAAAACCTTCGCCCCATTGAAGACCCTCATCGACGATAAGGTCCCTGCTGTCTCCTTCGCCAAATTCTCCCCCAATGGCAAGTTCATTCTCGTCGCCACTCTCAATGACACGCTCGTGAGTTTTCATTCTTTTCTCATATGCCTTTTTCTGCTTCAGTATCGGTTTTTACATTCTAAATAGAGTATTTTGCTATAGAATGCTATTAACATCAACCAAATAGACCAAGCAACAACATATAAAAAACATAATTTTTTTTTCTAAACTTATTACCTCTTTTCAAAACCACCATATTGAAGGAAATGAGCTTAATCAATTTTCCGGCAAGATCACCGAAATGCCCTGCTGGCTTATAAAAACTTGATAGAAAAAGAATGATTTTAGTCATAAAGGGATCATCATGGCATCTACTGGATAATTACTCTAGTAGAACGCCAGAAATGCAACAGAGATTGCAAAAAAAGGAATGAGTAAGCTGATTTAATATAAAAGATCAGGGAACTATCTTCCTTTTAAACATCACATGCTCGCTTAAACTCGCAGAGCTTACCGAAGTAGATAACTTGGTGTAGAGCTCGCAAACAAATATATTCTGCCTCCAAATGCCATTTCCAGAGCCATACTCCAATATTCCGCTATCTCTTGCAAGCAATACAAGCGTTATTATAGAAAAAGGAAACATTACCAATCCATTGATCGTGCTGATTCTTAGCTTTCTTATCACTGCACAAGAAAAACCATAACCTAGCGGCTGAAGAAATAGTACATACCATCTGATGAACATATATCCCTCCACCAAATGGGAGTTGATATTTTGCAGCATCTATTATTCAAAATCATTTGATCCCCAAAGGACCGAATTCCTGAGACAATGATTTATACTAAGCAGCCTCTGAAAACCATAAGACCCAAATTAGGTAGTTCATAATTTTTAATTCCAACCCCTTCCTCCCGCCAAGGCCTTGGGTAGAGAAACCTTTTCCGAGCTCTCCCAAACAATTTTCCCAAAGGTATCACCACTAAATCATGAAAGAGATCTTTAAAGTCCCAATCGAGATATTTAAAATTCTCTTTGGAACTTTATGAAAAGAACAAGAACTACCAAAGCAAGGTAGATAATAAGACAAAATTTATTGGATTGTTTGTGTAATATAGGGACCACAGGTTATTCAAGCTAAGATTAGATAAATTGTGACTCTGTTGTAGAATGCACCACAAGAGGAATTACCTCAGATTAACTATAATATTGCTGGTTTGTTCTGAATTAACTTTATCTTTCTATTATTATCTCTATCAACTGCAATAGGAAGTATTGAGATAAGGTATTGATCATTTTTGCTGTTGGCATTGTGTAGAAATATACTCTGGAAACTTGACATTTATGATCTTCTGAGGACCGGGGTTAATGAAACAGTTACTTCTATTCATATCATTAAGATAACGGTTCTGCACAAGAAACAGTTAGAAATCATGCTGAATAGTGCATTTGAAATCATGATGGCAATGTAGTCAAAATTGAGATTATGGTTAGGGTTCCGAGGGCTTCACTAGATAGTAAATTGTTGAATTACAATCCTACTCCTACATAAATGAGATATGCATATATACCTAAACTTAAGTTCACCATAAGAAAACTCCTACATAAATGAGATATGCTCTTATGCTTAAACTTAAGTTCATCATAAACCATAAGAAAGAAAGCGGGTCAACCAATCATAACTCATGAGTGGCAAACAAAACAACTTAAAACCCTAATTACCTAAGTAGCCTAAACAATATACCAAATTATCAAATACCAACTACCAAGCCCAAGACAAAGAACTCCTAGATGGCTAAAGCCTAAACTTAAAACATATAGTATAAATCATTCAAATTAAAATCAAAACTCAATGTATCTTCATTAGCTCCATTTCCTTCATGATGCACGTTGATAAGAACATCTTTCTCTAGATGGGGGATGACAAGAACATCATCCTCTTGCCCTCCACCTTGGACTTGACCTTCAAAATGTTCATCTTCTTCATTTGAATTTGGAGCACCATTTAAACCTTCATTTTCATTATTTCTTTAATCTACTCATCATCATGGGATGGAATCTCATCATCATGGGATGGAATATCATCAACATTAAACTCCTCAAGTGATCTTCTTTTACCTTCCTTCTCAGTCAATTTTTATTTAACCATGACATAAATAACATCATTCATAGTTTCTTGTTACAAACATTCTTCTCTATATGGACCTAATGCAAACATATAAGTAACAACATTACACACAAAACACGTCGAGTTGAACATTTTCACAATCTTCATTGACTATCCCATTGATCAAAATCTGTTGTGATCTTGCACGGGTACTGAATTGGAGATGGGGTGTAAAATTGTGTGATTCCATGACCTTCCTTGCCATTTTGACTATGGTGATGGGAGTAAATTTTTACATTTTTTCCAAAATAATTTTTTTCTTTATGTTCCTAAACTTATGTCCTAGGGACATTTAACATTCTCTTTTTGCTAATTTTGCATGTTAGTTTAGCAGCAGATTGCTGGTTTTATTTGATAATTTCACTTACAAAATAGTTTTTTGGATGCAGAAGCTGTGGAACTACAGCAGTGGGAAGTTCTTAAAAATTTATTCTGGGCATGAGAATAGAGTATACTGCATAACTTCTACATTTTCTGTGACTAACGGGAGATATATTGTTAGCGGTTCTGAAGATGGCTGTGTTTATTTATGGGACCTTCAGCAGAAAAATATGATTCAGAGACTTGAAGGTCATACAGATACTGTAATATCTGTTACTTGTCACCCAACAGAGAACAAAATCGCTTCCGCTGGTCTCGCTCGAGATGCAACTGTGAGGGTTTGGGTACAGGATTCCTGAATAGTATTGAAATTGTGGGGGGTGTTGTATTTTTTCTAGATTTCAACTACATGCCTATACATGTCTGATTTCAGTATTAGACACTATTACTCATATACGGTGATCTCTAGACGGCACTATTTCCTTTTTTTTTTTTTTGTAAATATAATTTTCATCACTTGATTGTTGTCGAACTCATAACATTTCTAGACATCTTTGACTCTTACAAAGCGACTACTGTGACTAATGTGAAGTATTTGTGTTACCTATCCAAATATCTCCACTATATTCTTATTGTGTGCGTTTGGTGAAAATTTTTCAGATTGTAAGAAAGCGAAAATTGTGATTTTCTAAAAAGTAATGTAATTAGCACAGTTTACGGCTCTATTTGTTTTTACGTAGAAGTATTTTAACACCCTTAATTGAGGTGATGCAAAAGTGTAAGGTTTGCAACGAATATTGTTCTTTGTGTAGCTTTCCCCTGATCTCTTCAGAGCTTAAGAAAAACCAGTAGATTTCTGAGGTGACACATGATTCGTCTTTCCCAAAGTTAAGAATAATGAGATGTCAGATATATTGCCAAAAATCACCTATGTTCTCCATGGTGATTGAGAGTTATTTGGAGCTATGCATAGGCTTCACCGTACGTAAACTCAATTAAAACGCAATAAAGACTAAAAGGAAGCAAAAGAATTGTTTAAAACTTGTCAGCCACATTGAGAGATAGATGATTGCAGAGCGTGATGAAAAAGAGTTACTACAGCTGCTTGTGGAAGAGACATTTTGCCGCGGGAAGCATCAGTTATTTGCACTATTCCTATCATCAACACCTGACAACTCTGCATGCATTTTCTTATTCAAATCCAACTGCATTGTGGAAGATCATAGGTTTCAGAGACATTCTTGACAACTCTCTGTCTCTCTCTCTCTTGTGTGTTTAAAAACATTTGACAAGGTTTTCACTTGCTGGAGTGTTAGATCAGGCGTTGATAAATGAGTATATATATTTGAAAATTGGGTTTGTAAACTTGCTGTATCTTGCAAATTCATGATTTTCCTTGATAAAAAATTGTTCCTAGGATCTATGAAAATAAAAATAAACAAAACATAGGAAAGAACTGAGCCGGAGATAATAGCTGCCATCTATGCATTAATTGAATCTCTGTTTTACGCTATATTACTCCCCGTATTTAAATGTTTGTGCTAAATTTAAAATCAAAAGAAGAAAATCCAACAAAGTTGCTATGTTTCTGTTTTTTTTTTTTTTCCTCGTTTGGTAACAGGAGATCATTCTTGAAAGTCACACCATTAAGAAAATTTATTTTACCATACTCCTTTACACTTTGCTGACCATACTTTTTGTAACCATTCCTACGAACACATTCTGGAATAAATGATAAAAGATTACGAATGTTATTAAAGGCGTGTGTATGTAAGATCAAGAAGAGAAAAGGGAACAAGTTTATCAGTTTCATTGTTGAAAAATGTGACTGTCAATATAAATTTAACATTGAGGAATAAGATTTAACAACTCTATTGACTACTCCTGTTTCCAAACACACAAAATGAGAGAGAACCCAAAGCCTTGCAACTGGGAATCCTTAAACTGCTGAGAAGAAGCCCATGTTAGTGCAGTGGTATCAGAATCTGACTGGCTTTCCCACAGTTTTTCACTTGAGATGCTTGTTTGGAACATGAACACTGCATTGCCCATAGCATTCCCAAAGAGCCAACTATGCACATCCCAAAACACTTCAATCGGAACCCCATCCACCAAAATGGTGTGGTTCCCCCGGAACTTCCACTTGAGACGCTTCACCTGCATCACTGTCTTGCTATCAATCCGAATCACAAGAGAGGGATCGATAAGCCCCACAGTGTCACACTCAATTGTGATATCATGCACTTGCCCCTTGTCAAAAAATTGAGCCTTTACACCATAAAACTTCTTCCCAAAAATATGCTCTCTTTTTGCAATGAAAACGGTACCAGAGTGAGAAAAAGCACAATCACTGTCAATCTTCTTGCATGCCTCCTTTTTCAGATCCCCGAGGAGCAACACTAGCTCCTTGTCGAACACAACCGCTAAGTAGAACCCCTCCAATGGCTCAGGTCCAGAACCAAACTTGGCACAACTCAAATCCCAAACAATATCAATTTTACCAGATTGGACCTCCAAATTCTTGGACCCTTTTCTCTTTGAGAAGAGCCATGGCTTTATCTCAACCTTGCAAAGACAATGATTTCCCAAGTCATCTATTCCCACACTCAAACCTTGACCCATCAGAGTTTTGGTCCAGGAGACCGTAATCAAACATGAGCGACCTCTTAGTTTGCACTGGTACACACACGTAACAACATTTTGCGCTGCTCTTGTGGTGCTCGATGAGGACGAGTCAGCAACCTGAACCCCATTTTCTCCAAAACAAGAAGGAAACTCCTTCATGGCACCACTTACCAACAACAACAAATTCTCTAAACTCCTTACTAAAAACAAAAACAAAAAAGAGAGTTTTTCTAGCTAATAAAAGTTGAACAAGAGGAACTTCTCCCTCGGATGATTGGAGGTTAACGTGATAAATAAATCTTGGATATTGGCTCCAAAAGAGTTGAGTTTGGACATGGGGCTTTTAATTGTGTTTCTTCAGAATGGGATAGGACATAGGAGGGAGGGGTGTGGGGGACAAAGAAAGAGAGCTAGATTTGGTTGATGTGTGAATTGTGTGGGGAGATTAAATGGAGTAATGGCCAAAACAAAAAGATGATTGATTAGAAAAACCTTGCAGGGAACATAAAAAGGAAGAGTCAGTGAAAAGAAAGGTTGCTTTAAGCACATGGGGTACCAAGGATAATAAAAGGCTACAATTGCCCCCATTCTATTGCTATTGCCATTGCCATTGCCATGAGTCAAGCAAATGGCAAATGGCAACTGGCATTCGGTATGTTGCCTACAATAACTCCCATCCACCTTAGGAGACGTGGCCCAGTAAGCAGATGTAATTATCAAAAGGAAGATTCAAGAATTTGGTTTCAACTGATTATCTTATTGCTCCTTTGTTAATGGTAATACCCAAGTTAAATTATTCTTAGGCAAATTTGAATTAAAAATGCTGAGATATCATATACCACAAGTGTCATCTACGAGTTTTGCACCTTTTTCTTCATAAGATCTTCAACACTTATATGCTAAATTTTTTACTTTTCTTCTCCCTCTTCTCTGATGTTTCCATTTTCTCTACATTCTTCTTTCTCTTCCAATTCTTTTTATCTAAAAGATAGAGTTAATTTAGTAAGATGGTAAAGACATAGTAATTGAAAAATAATCTTCCTCTTTAAACTTGACATTAGATGTATGATTAACATAAAAAAATCAATCTTTTAATTCAATCATAAATATTATATATGATTGATTTTTAATTATATATTAATGATTTTATTTTATGAAATATCAATAAAAACTCCATCTACTTAAAAATAAGTGACGTTTAAGATTTTTCGGGATATTTAAAAAAATATAATATATAACTTAATGAATTATCATTATTAGTTGTGTAATACACAAAGTAATGAGAAAATCATCATAGAATTATTTATTATAGATAAAATCAGAATTAAAAAAAATAACATTTCATTAAATCTTAATAACATTTGATTTTAGATTATAATTTTAAGATTTATAAAATCAGCTAATTCTTTTAGAATTTGTATTTTATGAATTTCAGATATTTTTTTAAATATGCAACTAAAATACAAACTTTGTTTTAATAAAAAGCAATTAATATCTTCAAATGTACTCGTGCCCTTATTTATAATTAAAAAAATTGCAAGGTATGTAGCTCGGTGAACAACACACGAATATTATGTAGGTGATGTAATGAAAGTCTTTGAATCCCATAAATAATGAATTAGGTGAAATTTACGTTGACTCTTGAATTTAAATAAACCAAGGTTGCTTCCGCAAGAAACCACACGATTTCTATGATTACGTTAATGCACCCATTGAAACTAGCTGTTTTTCAAAGATCTTCATAAGGTGTAGTGCCACATTACAGACCGTTTGACCATCATGTCCAATAATTAATTTCATGACATTATCAAACATCTTTGTTTTACCAAACTATAAGGATTAGTTGCCCCACCCAGAAACAACTAGATTTCAGAATGACCAACCAATTACAATAAATTATAATGTTTGATTGATGTTGAGAAATTCTTATCCCTTCTAAGAGGAAAGAGAAGGAAGGGTTATAATTATGGCTATTGATGATTTCAGAAGTAGTAATATAAGGGAATTTGGTCCCATCTTTTAATTTTATAGGATGATAAGGGAGAACACTATACTGATGCCAAAACTCTTGTGCGGGTAGATATTCGGAATGGTGTGTTTCTCCCACTTTTTTTGACTTGGTTCTCATTCTTAAATGATAAATTCATCACCACAAATTTGGAATGACTTTAGGGGGAGAAACTTCGTAATGGTAAAACAAATGGGACATTCTTCCATGACAAGAATTGATGATCAAAAGTTTGTGTCACGGGCAGTGTGAAATTGCATTCAGAAAGTGGCATTCATGAATCTGATTCCTGGTTCTCAGTCAGGGTGGGTATATTGCACAGGCACGAGTGTGAAACACAAGTTACATGACAGATTGACAAGGCTAATGAGACAGGAAAATTGTGAATCACTTTTCAAGATAAGAGTAATACCCACAAAACAAAGAGAATCATCCAAGTCTCAATAGGGCACAGGCTTTTGGAACCTTAACAAATTGAAGGCTATGGACCCATGGAATAACCAAATCCTTTAGTATATGTTCTTCGTTAATTGGCCTTGAAACATGTGGTACCACACTCACATGAAAGAATACTAGATAATAAACAATGCTTTAGGTTGTCTAGAGTGTTAGTTAATAGGTGAATCATGAGATTCGGATAAAATGTTTCTGTAAGAGTTTCTTTATTATTTCACACATACAAAAAAAAAAAAAAAAAAAAATAATATATATATATATATATATATATATATATATATATATAATCTTGTTGGTAAATTATGTAGTGATTTTTTTTTAAAATGTATTAATTTTTAATCATCTTGTAGATAAAATTGTTTTCCTTTTATTTTTATTTTCAATTTTTCCATAATTACACACTTAATAAAATAAGAAAGAAAGCCAAGATAACTAAAAAGACGATCACTAAGATTTATATAAAGAAGTTATCTAAAGATAATTATTCTCGTCTATGAAAAAATCAAGATGAAAATCATTTTGATATAAAAAAATTGTATTAAAACAATAAAGGGTAAGACTAATATGTCACGTTGTTTGATAAAGAATGAGAAAATTGATATTATTAATCATGATAGAAGTGAGTGTCATAATCTTATGTTTTTATGATTAGACATTGACAAAGGTTATGATGGAAAGAACTACGGTACCATCGTAAAAAAAAACTTGAGTCATTATATATTATAAAATCTCTAGTACATAAACTTTGTTTAAAGAAATAGTTGTATTTGTTCAAGATTACAAAATAAGAACGATGGTCAAGTAATTCATACACTATAACAAGATATTGTATGATTTTGAGAATATTGACGAGAAGTTGAAGGTGAAAATTTGCTTTATCTGAATGAATTGCATAAGATGTTTGAGAATTTCAAAGATGTTTTATTGTTCAAAAAGGAACAAATTATTATTCTAGAAAAATTTAGACTTCAATTCAGATTAAAGAACCCCAAAAGCTTTAAGAGTTCAAGAATTATAATAATTGGGCTAACTTGACTGTCTCAAAGTTCAAGAATAAGAGAAAGAGGCAAAGATGGAAGAAGTTCAAGAAGTCTTTGAAGGACAAGGCAAAGGAGGAGAAAGGATAATGACCCAAGTGCTATAATTGTCATATAAGAAGTTTATAAAGAGGAATTGTCGGAAAGAAGAAGAGAATTATTGTTTTATGAGAGAGTTTGCAAATGTTACAATTACTTTTATAGTTATAAGTCTACATAAGTCTTGGTGACATCAACTTCATATAAAAAGGAGTTGAGTTACTTACTCAAGTTTCACTTATCACAGTGAAAATGTTCTTTGAGACCTCAAAACTAAAAGGAGGTGTAGTTCTCCTTGGAAATAATAATTCTTTTAAGATGTAAGGCATGAGGTCAATTAGAATAAAAATGTTTGACAATTAGGAGATGTTGTTTTAGGATGTGAGGCTTGTTTTAGAACTAAAGAGAATTTTTTTGCCAATAAACATGTTTTATCTTTTATGTCTTCCAACCCATATTATGGCATGATAAATATTTTTAATAAAGCATCTATAGTTGTAAAGGGGTGAAAATAAGTTATTTTTACATTCTTCAAGACTATGCACTTTTGGCTAGTTAGACAATGCATGATAAGACAAAGTTATGACATATGAATGAGAGAAGCATAACATGTTAGTAGGTGATAATATGGAGAAACTGAAGTTTGTTGGTTAATGTAATGCTAGAAAAGTCTCATATTGAAATTTGAGATTGGTAAAGATGTGTCTAGTAGATCATTTGAATATGTTCAACACAAACTTAAGCTCGTGGAGGAGGGTTTTATTTTCTTATTATTATAATTGATTTCTTAAAAAAATGTGGATATATATATATATTCAAAAGTAAGGTGGGAGTTTTTCATAGATTTAAAAAGTGGTACACCATGATGGAAAATCAATAAGGGACCAAACTAAAGTTGTTAAGGACATGCAATGGTTTAGAAATTGTCTTAGAGTATTTTAATGATTTTGTAGGAAGGATGGTATAAGAAAAATTAAAATGGTCTTTAGGAGTTCTTAATAAAATGGTATTGTTAAAATGATGAATATAAATCCATTTTAGAGTGAGTGAAGTATATGCTAGTGGGAATTACTCTGGTTTTAAGATTTTAATGAAGGTGTAGAGTGGAAGGACAACAAATTATTATAATTTGATAATGTTTAGTGTGCATTAGCATTTTCATATGTCAAGAATGATAAGTTGAAAACATGACTAGAGAAGTTTATCATCATTGGATATGCTAAAGATGTGAATGGATATAAGTTGTGGAGGTTGCACTAGTGAAAAAGGGTCTTTTACGTCACCCAATTCTCGTTACATTCAAAAATATCCGATGTAAATAAAATGTGGTGGTCATTTTATAAATATAAGGCAGGACTTTTACGTCACACCTTGAAGGAGGTGACGTAAAAGACCTCTTTTACGTCGTACCAGAAGAGGTGTGACATAAAAGAGGCTTTTTACTTCACCTCCTTCAAGGTGCGACATAAAAATTGGACCAGTTTTTACGTTGCACACTCCAGGATGCAATATAAAATCTGAGTTTTATTCTCTTCCAGCGTCACCCCCTCGTCTCGCGCAGTAAGGATTTTTTTAGAACGACGACAACTACCATTTCCACACCATTTTCAATTATTTTG